TTTATTAGCTACTTCATTGCTCATTAGCTTCTGGATACTGGAACATGCATACGAGGATTGTTTCAGTCATTATGGTTTTTAGAGTCCTCAATTATATAAAAGCAAGCCTCGCCCATCACCACATCACCAAAGCAGAGCAAATCTAGGCTCCTCTTGCAATTAAAATCCTACCGTTCAGTAAGTTAAACCCAGCAATAACTACATCTCTGAATATGAAGGACCGGGTGAACCAGGGTGACATAATTCCCCTCCCTGTGGCTGGAGTTGGTGATCTGGTGACCATTTCCAGCCCTGTGAGGGAGCCGGGTGGGCAAGTGTTCTGGAGAACCCCAGCCAGGCCCGGTCCCATCTCTCACCTGTCCTACAGGTAAAGAGCCTGACTGCAAGGATATCATCGCCACGCTGCAGTATGTCAAAGTGGGCAGCTGTAAGTCCGAAAAGCAAGTGGACATTCATTACTGCCAGGTAAGCTTCCCTGACTTCGATGAGGCCCAGGGGGCGCGGAGCCTCCTTGTTTGGAGACATCTTCTTAGTTACATTTCACAGGTCTGGAACACTCATAGGGAGGAGGAGTGAAAAGAGCTGGAAGCATGTTATGTTAAAGCCAGTGCTATATTGAATTAACTGGGAATTTTTTAAAAAATATTTTATTTATTTATTTATTTTTAGAGAGGGAAGAGAAGGAGATAGATAGAGAAACATCAATGTGCAGTTGCTGGGGGTCATGGCCTGCAACCCAGGCATGTACCCTGGCTGGGGATTGAACCTGCGACACTTTGGTTCGCAGCCCACGCTCAATCCACTGAGCTACGCCAGCCAGGGTTAACTGGGAATTTTTGACCCCAGAAGAAAAAGACCAAAAAAAAAAAAAAAACCCAAACAAACCCCAGGAAAATTCAACAAGTCCTTTAAAGAGAATGGAGAGTTATTTATGGAAGCTGGTGGGGGGGAATATGTTTCCTCAAGATCAATCAGACGTGCATAGAAATTACAGCTAGAGGGATCTGGGTGTCACGGTACCATAAAGACAGAGGACATGTCAGGCTTCCCTGAGACCTGCCTTTAGAAACTGCCCTGCTGTCCTGGGATTTCTGGGGAGGCCAGGGCTGCCTGGCTTGGAGGAGCACAGGTTAGGGAAACAGGCTGCCTCAGAGTCCTCTGTATCCCAGGCTTCTCCACCACCTCAGTGCCCTGTCCCCTCTCTGCTCCACTGCAGGGTCAATGTGACAGCAAAGCCCTGTACTCCATCGACACCGAGGATGTGCAGGACCAGTGCTCCTGCTGCTCACCCACGCGGACAGAGCCCATGCAGGTGCCCTTGCGCTGCACCAACGGCTCCATCATCTATCATGAGGTCCTCAATGCCATGCAGTGCCGGTGCTCCCCCAGGAAGTGCAGCAAGTGAGGCCGCTGCTGCCGCTGCTGCATGGACACCTGCTGCCGCCTGCCTGGGCCCGTTGGCCAGAGTGCTGCCTGGGCTTCTGTATGCTCTGCTCTTGTGCCCCCCAACCCTGGGCCCACAATAAAGGCCAATGTTTCATCTTGCAAAAGACTAATGGTTCACTGTGTCTTCCAGGGTGAGGCGACAAGGGTAGGCTGGGTGAGTGCAGAGGTTGGTTCTGGAGGAGCAAGCACAGGCTCCACCCAAAAAAACACTCCAGCCCCAGGGTCTGGGGGAGGCAGAGCCAACCTCTGGGACAAAGTGGTGCCTTTGCACCCATGCAGCGCAGAAGAGAGAGAGGGGTGTGGGGCAGGCCTCCTGGGAGACTCAGCCCAGTGGCTCGGAGTCAAAGGGATCGGCTCAGGAACACTGGGTTCTCCGGTCTCTGAACCCAGGGCCTTGGGGCAGAACAGAGGGGTGGGCCCTGGGGCAAGGCTTCCCCTACACTAGACGTGCTATTGCCAGAGTGGCCGGTGTCCTGGGGAAGGGGCTTGCCAGGTGTGCAAGGGTTTTTCTGAGCCCTTAGCTGACTGAGTCCTTGTGTCCCCTCTGCGGCCCCAGTGGGAGGGAGAGGTGCTGCAGACTGAGGGGACTGCAGATGGGGCGCTGGCAGGTACAGGAACATGGTCCCATCTCCCCAGGTTTGGGGGCAGGCCTGGGTTCCCCGTAAGGCCCTTACTCTCCTGGGAGGCTTCAACTAAGCCGCTTAGCAGTTCTCAGACTCAGTTTCCTTGATTGGAAAAAAGGGATGTGAGTCCTACTTCAGAGGGTTGGGAGGGTACAATAAGCCTGAAAGTCTGGGGTAACTATAAATAGCTCTACAGTGATGTAAGAAGTGACAAGAATAAAAATGGGGACATCGAGGCTGAAAAGGGGAAGCAGTATCTCTATCATCAGTGTCGGAGCACTGGGAGTTTCCTTGCTTCTCAGGGGTGAAGAGCTGAGTTTCCTTCAGGCCCCACCTACTCCGGCATCCTGTAGTGGAGGGGACAGAGGGGCAGATAGCACCAAACTCCCCCAGTCCCTGATCCCTAAGTGCTGCTGTCATTCTCAGAGAGAGAGTGTCTTTCCTTAAAATCCAGGAAAAGTTAATGGCAAGATGATGGAAAACCGGGGAGATCATACCCATGGGAATGAAGAGAAAGTCTGGGTATTTGACAGGGATTCGATGGAGGATTGATCTTCATTCCAGATCCATTTAACACACATAAGAGAGACTCAACTCATTGAAAGGATGATGGAGCTGGGAAGGATTTAGACATCATCAAACTGCTACCCCTCCTCTGCCCCTTCACTGAGGATGAAAGGAGCTCAGAGAACTCCAGTGAACTGTCAAAGGTCACACAGCTGCTGAGTGGAGGGACCAGGTTCAGAACTCAGGTGCCTTGACACCTAACAAGGACTCCAGGGCATGCCACCAGAGCCACACCATCCCTGTTACTTACAGATTCAGCCCTTGCTATCATGGGAACCAGCAACTGCTGCATTTCTAGGTCTCTCAAGCACTTCCGTTACTTCTGGGGACCGATCTCAAGGGAATACACAGTATAGGCAAATGGCACAGATTGTGTTAAACAGGTTTGGTGGGGGGTTTAGTGGGGCAGAGGGAAGGAAGAATGAATGGATAGAAGTTTTATATAACGGTTCAATAATTCAAAGGTTGTCATCTCTCCATCCATCACCCTGCCTCCAACACTGCGTAGCCTCCAAGGTCTCTGTAGAAACCAGATCCAGGGCAGGGCATTACCTGTCTCTCTCCTGACTGACCGCCTAACGCTCCACCTGGGGATGAGGGGTTACTGGAGGCATCAGCCGCAGACAGACGCAGCAGACAGGCTGCCTCTTTTGCATCAGGTGTCAGTTTTCCAACTGCCTGACCCACCGTTGCCTGCATTTCTCCTATTTACTGATAGGACAATTCACTATCAAGAAGAAAACTGAATCGGAGAGGCTGCATGTTTTGATTTGAAAACAATGGCAGGGAGCAGGGTAAAAAGGATGCAGAAGGAGAAACTGGTGGAGGTCATGGGGTGTGTCTCACAGCCCACCCTGACTCCAAAGGTCTTCCAAGGGCCTCTGGTCTCAGGGACCTTCTGTTTTTGCTCATCCTCACACCCGATGAGACAGAGTCCCTCAAAGTGAGAGTTTTAGGGGGGTCTTGAGGAGGGAGGATGCAGGGACCAGGGGATAAGGAAATGCTGGAGGGAGAGAAGCAAGGGAATGGGTGAGGGAACTAGGGTGGGAAGTTCTCCACGTGTCTTGGCATTGAAAAGACAGGGAGGAGGTTCCTGGAAGTGAGTGGGGGAGGGGCATTGTTCCGGAGAGAAAGGAGCCCAATGACCAGACTCCCTGGAGTAGGCTGCCTGCCTTGGGGCCCTGGCATATTCTTAGAGGCAAATTGCTTGACCTTTTTTTTTTTTTTACATCACAGTCTCCTCGTCTGTAAAGTGGGTATACTAGCAGTAATTCCCTCATGGGTTGCTGTTGGAATCAAGTAGTTACTGTGGGCTCAGGCATTGAGAAGGGCGCGGTGGAAGGGGAAGCCCTGTATGGTACACATCAGCCGTGATGGCTCCCAGTGAGCAGAATGGAGCTGGGGTTGGGCCCTAAAACGTAGAGCTTCCCCTCTGCTCTGTCCCCCGCTCATTCTCCCCTTTACTGCCTCAGGCTCCTCATCTGTAAAGCTGGGAGATAACATACTTCACACTGAAAGGTCGGGGGTCATAAACAGCACCTCTTTATTTTTGGGCCACCAGGTACTCAGGCATTTGCTTAGCTCCAGGGCGTCTCGGAGCTGTAGATTCTGCCATCTAGAACGGCCCTTTGGAAGCCTCTACCCCCACTCCCTCGCCCCTGGCCAGGTGCCTAACTGGTCCGGAGAGGTGGCAGCCCTCTCGTTTGGGGACTGGCTTCCACCGGCTCCTCCTCGCCCCTGTCCCGGGGTCTCAGTGGGAAGCTCCTCTACAACCTCCTCCTCCTCCTGCGGCCCCTCTTCCGTCCCACCTGCCTCTGGTGTACCTATTCTCGACTTCTGCTCCTTTCGGTCCAGAGACAGGGGGGGACAGCTGGTGGCAATCCAGTGAAGGCAGGTGTGCCGGGAGCCTCCCCACCCCCACCCCGGGGCATTTCCCTGGATAGGGCGGAGGGAAGGAGGCTTTGCGGGTGGGATTGGCGACTCCTCAGCCGGGCAGTTCACGAGATAATCCGGCTGAATATTCACACCCGACCGACCGAGGTTACGAGGCACCTCCCCCGCCCCGGTGGAGGAGAGCGGGCAGTACTTGCTGCCTCCCCCCTCAGCTTCCTTAGCCGGGTGCCCGGGACTCAGTCAGCCCTACCGCGGGGACCAGCTCTCCCGTGCACGTGGCACGGCCCGCGTCCTTGTGCCCAGCACTCCGCGGGACAGCCCGGCGCGCTCGGCCTCTGGCGGCGCCCGCAGGGTGGCTCCGGCAGGGATTCCGGAGGAGGAGGAGGCGGCGGCGGCGGCAGGCAAGGGGCGGGCACGTCCGGACCCAGCTGAGCCGAGATGGAATTAGCCCCGCAGTGGAGTAAGCCTGTCCATCTGCGAGCGCCACAGCGGGGCAGTCCGGGCTTGGCGACCCGTGTGCCCGCACCATGGCCACCCCCGGGCTGCAAGGTGAGTGTTCCCTGCTGGGGACCCAGGTCCCGAACGCACCGCAAGTTGTAGGAGGGAGCGGGGCTGGGGGTGAAGGAGCCGGCATCCTAACTCCTACCGTTCGGGACGGGTGACCTCAGGTGAACCCGGAGAGACCGTGGTGAGGGGAACAGGTAGATCCCTGTCCTCTCAGGGTGGGGGAGCAGAGGGAGGCCCGAGCAATTTCCCAGTTTTATGGAGGAGAGAGAAGGTAGGACGAGAGGCAGAGGACTGATTGGTGCAGGGGCTTTTTCTGGCGAGGGACGACCACTTCCCGCCTCAGCGACTTGGCCTGCCTCTCCGTGATAAAGCCGTGGGATGTTTAGTGTGGCCCAGACAACTAGCAGAGTTTAATTCGGGAACAGTTTGTGAGGACAGAGGTTCGGATTCGTCCCCCGCAAATTTGACTTTGGCCTCTTTGGGGTGTCCCTCCAGTTTTAGGAAGTCCTCCAGGCCTTACCCAGCCCTCCCTCAGGAAGGGCTTTTGCCTCTCAGGGTGCAGGGAGACCCAGGCCTGTCTCCCCTCACCCCCGTTTTTTTCTTAGAAGAAAAGCAAATTATACCGACCTTGCCTGGAACAGTTGTTGGGTGTCTTGCTCCTGGTGGGTCTTGAGAGAGGCCTGAGGTGGGGAGTTGCCCAGGCCATTGGCAGGAACAATAAGCTGAAGGGACTGGAAGGCGGTGTCACCTATAGTCCTTTGTGGGCGGGTATGGAGAGAGACCTCCAGGAACCATGGGGACCCTGGTTCAGGATAGAGAGTCCCATTGAGCAAGGTGAGTTCTCAATCTGAAGGCAAGTGACAGTTGGAGGGCGAATCTTAGACAAGGTCGAGGCCCTCCCAGAGGATGGTGCCAATCACTTCTGTCTGTCAGTCACCGTCCCCAGCTGCTGGACATCCAGTGCCCAGTTCCTTCCTCTCACTGTGTCTTGCTATGCACCCATCATTTTGGACCTGGTATGGTCTGTTCTAGCAACCTCTTACACTCTCTGAATTGCCTCTATGTGGGAACCTGGGCCACTTTGCTGGCCGATTGAAGAGGCTGTGTGGGGCGTAGGGTGGGTCTCAGACAGCACCCACAGGTTCTGGTCCAGTTTCCCTGAGCTCCTTCTCGGCCACCTTCCACTGCGGGCTAAGGCTGGAGGCCCAGAGGCACTGGGGCCTAAAGTGGAGCTTGTCTGTCATTTTCTACAACGAGCCCCACTGAATGCCAGATACTGCGCCCGGTGCTGGACTTGCAAAGATCAAGAAAGGCACACACCTGCCTGTCTGGACCTTACGGTCTATATCCATGGTGCCTGTTGCTGGATACAGCAAGGAAGAGGTGGAGTCAAGTATGGGCTTGCTCAGCCCATAGCAATGGAATTAGCCTCGTTTATACTTCTGGTATTTTAAGACGGTGTAAGAGGTCTTTCTTGGGATCCTGCTGACAGTGTTGCCTTTCCTCCAGAAACTTTCAGAAAATAATAGATTTCTGTCTGGCTGACAGCGTCCCATCCAGGTTGACTTCTGCTGAAACGACTAAAGGATGGCCATGCTCAGCCAGCTGGTGGCAGATTTTCCTCCTGTTTAGTGGACCTAAGCGTAAAGCAGACTACTGACTGAAGTCTTCTGACTTGTTCATTGACAAAGGATAAATCCCACTTTCACTGACGCCTGCTACTTATAACCAAGTTAAAAATAGCTTTTTTTAAAAAATAAAAAAATAATATATGTTCACCCTGGCTGGGGTAGCTCAGTGGATTGAGCAGGGGCCTGCAAACTGGAGGGTTGCCGGTTCGATTCCCAGTCAGGGTACATGCCTGGGCTGGGGGCCTGGTCTCTGGTGCGGGGGAGCATGCGAGAGGCAACCACACATTGATGTTTCTCTCCCTCTCTCCCTCCCTTCCCCTCTCTAAAAAAATAAATAAAAATATTATATGTTCACTGTGAGGAAAATTTAAATACAAATATGTAAAATAAAAATAAGTTACTTGTTTTTAGTACTTTGGTAATTATTGTTTGCCTTGTTTGCTTTTTAAACCATCATGATTTTTGCCTATATCAGATAAATATTTTTATTAGTCATCAAACATCTTAAAAGAAAGGAAAACTTAGATACAATACTTAAATGAGGATAAATTAACAAATGTCAAAGAATGAAGGGTTGGGAGCATATTATTATGTCATCAGACCAAGGCTAAGAATAGGTACTGTAATTGAATAAAGATTTTATCTATGGTCTTCCTGACAGGCAGGTCAGAAGACAGACAGTAAGTTACATGATCTCATTGTCTGATAAAAGAAGACTAGTTCATTAACATTAAATTTTAAGAAGAATGTCACAGTGATATCTGTGATATTTATGTAAGACATTGCCCAACATAAGGAGCTGTAGTTTTATTAATAGGTTTTTAGAGAGTATATTATTTATCACATGGGTACTTATATTGTATCCGATTTTGTTTTAAAAGGGTGTTTGTGTTTTATTCTTTTCTGGTTCATTCTATCCTATTATATTTTTTAAAATGCTTTTTGCAAACTATTGGATAACCAATTAATGAGGTATATCTGTAATTTGAGGGGTAGCGGCTTGCAGCATATAGAAAACTCAGTGGCTAGTAGTCCTTTTGGAGCGGCGCTCTCAACCTCTTTTTCCTTCCCTAGGTGAGAGAGGGAGGCAGGACACTTCCGCCAGAACCAGCTCTTGTCCAGAGTTCCACATTCTCGTTTCCCTTCAGCCTGGAGGACGTCCACTAGCGTTTCTGGAAGTGTCCTGCTGGCGCCAAATTCTCTCAGCTCCAGTTTTTTGTGGAAAGTGCCTCTATTTCAGCCTCAGTTTTGAATGATAATTTCACTGGGTGGATGTAGACTAATGGGTTGACAGGTGTTTTTTTTTTCTTTCAGCACTATCTAGGTGTCACTTTATTGGTCTCCATTATATCGATGAGATCAGCCTTAATTCATATTTTTATTTTCTTCTTTCTTTTGCTGATGTATACTACCTTTTTAACCTGGTAGTTTTCAAGATTTTATTTTTAGTTTTGGTTTTGAACAGTTAGACTGCTATGTATGTATTTAGTTGTGATTTGCTTTGGATTTTTCCTGCTCATTTTTATTTACCTTCTTGAATCTGGAAGTTACTGTATTTTATCAAATTTGGGAATGATTCCAGCCACTGTTTTTCTAAGTATTTTTCTGTTCTGTTTTCATTCTCTTCTGTTTCCCAAACACCAAGTACATGTATGTTCGAGGTTGTCCCATTGGTTTGTGAGGCTCTGCTAATTATTTTTTCAATCTTTAGTCCTTCATTCTCTGGACTAGATAATTTCTACTGATCTATCTTTAACTTCACCAGTCCTTCTCCTGCTTTCTCCAGTTGCTGTTAAGCTCATTCAATGAATTTCTTTTAGTTGTTATAATGTTTAGTTCTAGGAATTCCATTTAAAAAATAACAGCTCTATTGAGGTATAATCATATATCATACAATGTAGCTTTTAAAAGTGTACCATTCAGTGATTTTTAGTGTATTTACAGAGTTGTGCAACCGCTCTCTAATTTTAGACCACTTTCATCATCCCAAAAATAAACCTCCTACTCACTGGCAGCCATTCACCTTTCCCCCACCCTCCAACTCCTGGCAACCGCTAATCTGCCGGTACTTTCCGTCTCCAGGGATTTTCCTATTCTGGACATTTTATTTGAATGGTGTTTGTGTTTGGGTTCTTTCACTTAGAATAATGTTGTCAATGTTTAGCCATATTATAACATGTATACGTTCTTCATTTCCTTTTATGGCTAAATAATATTCTCTTGTATGGATACACCCCATTTGTTTATATGTTTATCAGCCCGTGGACATTTTAATTTCTACATTTTGCTACTATAACTAATGCTGCCATGAACTTTCAAGTACAAGGTTTTGTGTGTACATAAGTCTTTATTTCTTTTGGGAATATACCTAGGAGTGGGGCTGCTGGTTCATGAGGAAACTCTCTGTTTAACTTTTTCAGGAAGTGCCAGACTATCTTCCAAAGTGGCTGCACCATTTTACATTCCCACCAGCCACGTGTGAGGGTTCTGCTTTCTCCACGTCCTCACTGACCCTTGTTATTGCTCTTTTTCGTGGTGGCCATCCCTGTGAGTGCAGAGTGGTATCTCACTGTGGCTTTGATTTGCATTTCCTAATGATTAATGAATGATGTTGAACATTTTTTTCATGAGCTTATCAGCCAAATGTATATCTTCTTTGGATAAATGTCTACTCAGGTTTGCTTATCTTTGAATTAGGTTATTTGTCTTTTTATTGTTGAATTCTGAAAGTTCTTTATATATTCTGGATACGAGTTCTCTATCTGGTATATGACTTACAAATATTTTCTCCTGATCTGTATGTTCACTTTATTAATGGTGTCTTTTGAATCACTTTTAATTTTTATGAAGGACAATATGTCTATTTTTTTTATTATTTGTGCTTTTGGTGTAATAGCTAAGAAACCTTTGCCCCACCCAAGGTTATAAAGATTTACTCCTATGTTGTCTTCTAATAATTTTACAGATCTAGCTTTTGCATTGAGGTTTATAATCCATTTTGGAAAAGTTGACTTTTGTGTATGGTGGGAGGAAAGGGTCCAGCTTCATTCTTTTGCATGTGGATATGCAGCTGCCCCAGCACCATTTCCCCGTTTCTTTCCCCACTTCTTGTTACCTTTGTTGAAATTCAGGGACTCATTTCTGGAATCCCAGTTCTGTCCGTTGGTATGTCTGTCTGTCCTTATGTTGGTTCTGCAGTGGCTTTGTGGTAAGTTTTAAAATAAGCAAGTACGAGGACAGGTACCTTTGTTTTTGTTTATGTTTTTAGTTTTATTTCTGTACACTCATTAAGAGTGTACTTACCTTTACTATGGGAACATGTGTTAGCTGCTTTAAAGTCTTTGGGCTTTGTTGAGATCAGTGTGTGTGTGTGGGTGTGTGTGTGTGTGATCGAGTCCTGTTTATTTTAGA